CTATAACTGAAGCATTCCTTGTGGTCTCCCTTCTTGAATACGGGTACAATGACTCCCGTTCTCCAGTCCGCTGGTGTCTTACCCGCACTCACCGCAGTTTGACAGACACATGTTAGCAAGCACATGCCTTGTTCGCCTAACGCCTTGAGCATCTCAGGGCGCATTTCATCAAGTCCAACAGCTTTTCCATTTTTCAAGCTTTTCACAGCGTGTTTTGTTTCACCTACGGAAATAGTAATATCCTTTACTTGCTGCTTTATAGACAATTCTTCCTGCGGTTGCCTCGGAATAACAAAGCTATTTAATTATTGTGTTATTATTAACCAGGATGATGAGTATGCGCTGACTTGCAGAACGATGAAGATCGAAAATGAGACTACTGGCTTTAGTTCACAAACCTTGTATCATAGCAGGGCCGTAAGATATTTGTGGATTCTGCTGAAGACAGACCAACCTGATCAAGTCTCTGTGTTTCGATGATTTTGTAGGTGCGCAGGACAGCGTTCTGTCGTTCAAGGTCCAACCGTGCATCCCGAGAACTACTTCTTCTCTCGTTTTTCGAGTGCCTGTATAGTTATTCATGTGCACCGGCCTAGTGATTTATGCTGCCTTGTTGTGAAAAGTACTTCAGTACTGCTGAATATGGGGCATCATCACAGTGGTTGCTGGGAAAATGCCTAAATGAGTAACAGCAACAGGACCAAGATAACCTGTGGTGTAAGGTAAACGCTGTTCGCTGATTTCAGGCGTCATTTTCGCATGCAATTCGTGAATGCAATTTCTGACTACCCGGAGATTGGAAACCAGTTTAGGTTTATACTTGCCCTGCAGAGAGTTATATCGCCTGTCAGTCTTGCGGTTCCTCGTCAGGTTTCCAAAAAAGACAACCAAAAGCGGTTTAGGCAGCTGATCGCCTGTATCATATTCATCTGTTATATAACTGAATGTAGTTGTATTTGATTTTTGCTAATTATTCTTATTCCTTCTTTACTATATTTTAATATTCGCAGTTATATTAAGGCTCATAAACCTACTGATTGATCGGTTGATTCTGCTTGACTGCTGACGCGTATTATATTATAGGTCAAAGAAGAGGAAGTTTTTGGAAACGTTGCTCACAGTGAGGCAATGGACGAGTTTTTGAATTTTCTGGGCACTCGCGTCAAGCTGAGGGACTTTAAGGGGTACAAAGGTGGCCTAGACACGTTATATGGCCAGACGGGGGAAGAGTCTGTATACACGAAGTATAAGGAAAGGTAAACATGGTCGAACGATCAGCGGCAGCGTCTCTATCAATTTACGTGTATTTCTTAAGGGAAATCATGTTTCATGTGTCTACGCTGCTTCCTTATTCCGCCGGCGATTCACAGCAGCTGCAGCGCAAGAGACACATTGGCAACGACATAGTGGCGATTGTGTTTCAGGATGAAAACACTCCTTTTGTTCCTGACATGATAACCTCTCAATTCCTCCATGCGTACATCATCGTACAGGTGGTTCCTTCGAAAGACGATGTTACGTACTACAAGGTATACCTGCTTTACGTGTCAAATGCATGTGTCTGTCAAAAACAACATAGCGTTCTTGGTAATACTACAGTCGTTGTTGGTCGTAAGAGTTGTACATTGTAAGCTCTGAGCTTATTCAAAACTGAGATTTCGCGGTGTATTTCACCACCCCTCACACCTAGTTGCTTAGAGCGGTATCATTCAGGCACGTCACGATTCCGTGGTATTTCCATACCTGTACTGCTAGACTCATTTCGTGTCATTTTTTTGGATAGAGCATTACCTTGCTCTTCTGGATGATGTTTCGAGTGACGGTACTCTTTATGTCCTTTTGCGACATGTCCACAATATACGTTTGTGCGCTAGCGCATGTCAGCGAGCTGAGTCAAGCAATTGATAGAGATAACCGTCTGTCAAACAATGATAGAGGTTCAGACTCGCGACCACAGGATTAAGCGCTGACTTGATGACCTCGCGCAATCACCACAGTGGAATCATAATCATAAATTCACAATTTCGACAACTGCATCACACCATACTGACAGAAAGCGTTAAATATTGGGTTAAATGACCATTATTGATGCAGATGACCATTGTCCGGTTATACAGATTCAAGGCGGCCACCGCAGAATGGGCGTTGACATCATCTAGCGGTTTGCGGACCGGCAACATGCACCAAAACATTATATGCCTGAACAAGACAGATAGGAGGATATCTTTGAAACGAACCATATCTGTCTTTCTTGCAAGGGATCGAGTCTACCTTCCACGATGGCGATCGTAGCCAAAGTTCCTAGAATCTGTGTAAGTTCGGGATGGCGTACCATAGTCAAGCGGAAATTTTCCGTCCTAATACTCTATGGCTTTTGTAATTTTCTGTCTGAAGTGATACTTTCCAGATAGCCGTTGCCGCAAGAGACGAAGTTCCGTTTTTCGGTCCGCCAAGATCATCGCCGTTGTTCGTCAAAGGTCAAGATTTCAAGAACTTTCTGCTCTCGAAACTTATCAACGCCGAGAACGCCTGCTACAAGGCCAAAAAATTCGCCAGCTTAGCCGTAAGTTGTTTCAGCTGTACCTTTACTAATGTAATTCGTAATCACGTGATGGTTAAATATGAAACAAATTTGTATTTGTTGCCAAGTTTGAAAATTCCCGAGAAACCTCATGCTATAAAGAAGAAAAAATACAATATTTGGTGTCGGACGAGTCTCGATCACTGTGCACATCCAGTGATCTAGAGAGTCATTTGTTCCTGTAGCTTTCGAATTGAATTGCATTCATTTTACTGTCTGTGACATGACTATACAGAACTAAGCCTTTTAGTATGATTTAGTGAAAATCTCACTAATGTCTTGCATATGACCAATAAAACAGTGTGTCATGAATGGAACAACCGATACGAGCGGGTACGCGTCGATATTATGTTCTTATACCAGGTGGTTCGTAGCGTGAGACATCTGGAAAGCGCGACATTCGGTGGGTGACTGACATCATTTACATCAGCTAGCATCTTTTCGTCGAGTGAGAGCATGTGTTTGATCACGGAATTCATTACGTATCATGCCTCAGTTTCGAAGCGCATCCCATGGACCCGAGACACCTGATACAACGCCGGATGCATCAGGTTAAGGTCAACTTCGCTGAGGCTTGAAAAAACGAGTATGCCTGCGTTGACAAATGTTCGCACAACTTTTGTTGGTACATCGGCGCATATCAGGTGACGCAGGTACAAGAATACTTTTCTGATCTTCTTGAAAATAGCCGTCATTTGTACTGACTATCATTAGTTTGAAGGAAGCAGAATGTCCAGACATTTTCTCATGCTCGTTGTCTGTAGGGTTTCGTTGTTGATGCTTATGTTCTTGTTGTTTATCTGATGAAACGTCACATTCTGAGTGTTCCGTATCAAAAATTGGTATTCAGTTGACTTAGAGTGGTTGAAGATGATACCAGATGTTGAACGGCGTGAACTGCGTTTTCATAAACTTTCATGTTCTGCATCGCCTAGTGATAATCAGATCGTTGGCGTGTTTTACACTGGAAGGTGGAAAGTGACCGTGACACGAATTAGTGCACAGAATAAACAGTAAGTTAGAAAAGATAGAACTCTGAACAATTCCAATGTTTCTGCTATGATTAAAAGAAGATTTGTTATTCATTCAAGCATGCAGCTAACGTCATCATGAGTCGTAGCCTTTGAATCATTCCGAGATATTGACGTTTTGACAGAAGTGCAAGCAACTTCTGTTGAGACGTCGTACTGAATGCTGAAGAGAACGAGAAGTAGCCTCTGCTTCGCCCATCTTTCTTGATCAATAGCAAAGCCCAGCGCGTCTCCGCAGCTTATTTCGGACCTAGAAACAAACTGATTGCTATCCGAGCTAGTCACCGTTTTGTCCTTTTAGTTCTAAGCGTAATCTGCTCCAGGCGTTTCAACGTGATAGAGCAAGAAACTACCGAGCGGTAATGGTCAGATG